CCCAAAATGGCCCAAACCGGGCCTTCTGGTGACGATGGTGATGATGGAGGTGGAGTTGTCATCCAGCAGGATCACCTGTCCCACACCTGCCCAGGTATCTCACCTGTCTCACCTTACCTATCTCAGGTGTGTCTCTCACCTGCCCAGGTGTGTCTCAGGTGTGTTTCTCACCTGTCTCACCTGTCCCAGGTATCTCACCTCTCCCATACCTGCCCCATACCTATCTCAGGTGTGTTTCTCACCTGTCTCAGGTGTGTCTCACCTGTCCCACACCTGTCCTACGTTAACCCACGTTAAACCACACCTGCCCAGGTGTATCTCAGGTGTGTCTCAGGTGTGTTTCTCACCTGTCCCAGACCTGTCCCAGGTATCTCACCTGTCCCATACCTGCCCCATACCTATCTCAGGTGTGTCTCACCTGTCTCAGGTGTGTCTCACCTGTCCCACACCTGTCCTACATTAACCCACGTTAACCCACACCTGCCCAGGTGTGCCCAGGTGTATCTCAGGTGTGTTTCTCACCTTTCCAGGTGTGTCTGACCTGTCCCACACCTGTCCCACACTAACCCACACCTGCCCAGGTGTGCCCAGGTGTGCCCAGGTGTGCCCAGGTGTGTTTCTCACCTTCCTCAACACCCGTCACAATGGACACGAAGTTGTCGTCCAGCAGGATCACCTGTCCCACACCTGTCCTACGTTAACCCACACTAACCCACACCTGCCCAGGTGTGCCCAGGTGTGTTTCTCACCTGTCTCACCTGTCCCAGGTATCTCAGCTGTCCCATACCTATTTCAGATGTGTTTCTCACCTGTCTCAGGTGTGCTCACCTTCCTCTACACCCGTGACAATCGAAGCAAAGTTGTCGTCGAGCAGGATCACCTGTCCCACACCTGTCCCACACCTGTCCTACATTAACCCACACTAACCCACACCTGCCCAGGTGTATCTCAGGTGTGTCTCTCACCTGCCCAGGTGTGTCTCACCTGTCCCACACCTGTCCCACGTCAACCCACATTAACCCACACCTGCCCAGGTGTGCCCAGGTGTGCCCAGGTGTGTTTCTCACCTGTCTCACCTGTCCCACACCTGTCCTATGTTAACCCACGTTAACCCACACCTGCCCAGGTGTGCCCAGGTGTGTTCCTCACCTTCCTCGACACCGGTCACGATGGAGGCGAAGTTGTCGTCCAGCAGGATCACCTGTCCCACACCTGTCCTACGTTAACCCATGTTAACCCACACCTGCCCAGGTGTGCCCAGGTGTGCCCAGGTGTGCCCAGGTGTGTTTCTCACCTTCCTCGACACCGGTCACGATGGAGGCGAAGTTGTCGTCCAGCAGGATCATGTCGGCCGCCTGCTTGGAGACGTCGGAGCC